TTAAGCACCTCAAGAATCTGTATTGCATCTAATTAGCAAATGACTCTGGAAGCCAACTCAAAGTTTTTAAAATTGCAGTTATCCTAAGGACGGGGTAGGGCAGTAACTACATAACAAAAATTTACCAGGATGCTAAATATTTACATATATTATTTCATTTTGATCCCCACTCAACCAATTTAAAAAGTATTGATATTTCCATTTTAAAGATGTAGAAATTGAGGTATGGGAAGATTAAGTCATTTGCCTGGGTGAAGCCAGGATTCTCACCCAGGTCTGCCTGACACTAATATCCACACTCTTAATCTCCTACCACCTATGCCAATGGTCTATGAAGAAAGTAGAAGCTATGAAACTTTTCATCCATTCATTAAGAAACATGTATAATATTTGCATACCAGGCTGATATCTGCCATCCTTACTGCAACTAAAAATAAGATTTCCCAAAGAAAAAATAGTTTATTTACAAAGAAAGCTGACCTATATGAAAAGAAGATATCAGTACTTTGCTATTTCAGAGCTTAAAGAAAGAATAAATTAAAATGGTAATGCATGACCAAATTATCTTCCAAAATAAAGGAAAGGTCACTACAAGTTGACCTTTCCTTTGAGTTGGAGAAAACTAAAACACTGCCATGAAAAGTTTTTGCACTCAAAAACTGCAACTGGTGACGTATGCATCACACAGATGCAACTGACCTGTATGTAGCAATTGATAAATCCTACTTATCATTTTCTTTGGTAATAACAGTAAGAAAAACTATCCTTCACAATCAACAAATCTCTCATTTTGGGAAAAACTGCTTGCAGCACTAGTCTCCTTATTACAAGTTTGTGACTGTGCCCTTAACAATACCACTGCCTCTACCAGAACGCCAATCACACCATCTGCTGTTTGAGCAGCAGCAATTCTTAACACCACTACCAAGTATTACACCTTTAACAGCAAATCCCAATACTAGCAACCAAAACAACCAAACCAAAACAGTTGGTTTATGGATTTCACCCACACGGCCAGCCAACAATCCAACTATCCATACAGCCACCTGACAAAACTCTGCCCCTGCATTTATTAAGAACTATGTGCTGGGCACTGTGCAGATACTAACACTCTTCTTTACCTGCAGTAGGTTCTCCAAAACTAAAAGAAGTCCAGGGGTCTACCTCCCATAAGGAATGGTGCATACCATACCAAAGCACAGAGTTCGTGCCAATTATGAAATGGGAGCCCCTATTAAGCAAATTACAAAGCACCAGTCAAAAACCCATATGCATTTAGGACAACAGTTCTTAACCCTGGCTGCACATTAATCACCTAGGGAGCTTTAAAATAATGCCAATGTCTAGGTCTCATTCCAGACCAATTAAATCAGAATCTCTGGAAGTAGGGCCCAGCATGGATATATTTTCTTAAAGCTTCTTAAGTGATTCCAACTTGCAGCCAGGGTTGAAAACCACCAAGTTAACTATTTCCAGAGTGGTATTCCTGAAATCCATAAATCTATTAGATGGTACAAAGACCACAAACCCTCCCATCCACTGCACCTGTCATCTGGGCTGTATTAAAACGATACATCAATAAAATGTTATTTTAAGATTATGGTCCAATTATTTATTTGTTTATAGCAATGAAATACTAAACAAGAGAGGATTTTAGGTCATGCGCCATCCTCCCAATGCCCCCCGCTCCCACCTATTCTGAGAACCAGAAAGGCATACGGTTCTAGCAGGGAGGAAACTGTTGAAAATCCCTTCCTCTTGCTTGGGAGAATGGAATTGGCAGTGTCCAGGCAAGAAGCAGCCTCAGCTCAGTAACCTGACAGGAGGGAACCTTCATAGTTCAGGCATGATTATCGAACTCTTTGTGCTCTTAAAGGAGAGTAATTATAGGCATGTGAAAAAAGGGAAGCACTCCCTGAGGAACTCTTCCTCACATGCTTCCCAAGAGGCAACAGGGCCATTAAAAATTCCATGATGAAGAGGAAAAACAGCCTGGGAACAGCCAGGAGGCAATACAGCAAATTAATACACCAGCCCTCCTCGGGGAAAGCTGTGATAAAACAGGAAACACTTCTCTTTGCAAAATAAAATTATACCACTAATGATAACACAGTCGCCACACACACACACACACACACCCCCCATGCTAATGATGCATGTGAAATTTCCAATGCTGTCCAGATGCTTTGAAATAAATGTTTCCCTACTACAAATAAAATGGGACAAGAAAAAGATACAATTTCCATTCGAAACAGTTTTTAGTATAGTCTTTCACCTGCTTCTTCCGCCACTTACTCCTTCACACTCCTCCTTGGTGCCAGGCTTTTGCTAAATGATCCACTCTTTGCAAAGCCTACTGCCCCGTTCTGAATCCAGTCTCATCAGTCTGCCACACTGGACCTAAACGGTTCCATCCTCACTAACCCCCTGCTGCGAAGGAACTATTACAAAGGAGTGACCAGTTGCCCTGAGAGCTCAGTATGTCATCATTCACACTTTCTAAACATTGCATAGAAGTCACTTGCGCTGATTATTTCCTATGGAGCAGTGGTTGCCAAGTTTTATTGATGTGCACCCTCACGAGTAAAAAATCTGAAAAAAGATGATATGTGTAGTACATACACATAAAATATAAATACATGCTACTAGACACAAATGTACAATTTAAAACAAAAAAAAATTTGAAGGATCAGCTATCAATAAATGTAAGTTTAAAATGTACCTCCCCTGTCCCAAAAAACCTTCATGTATGCAACCCACTTGGTATCTATTGCCCTGGGTATGATGTCTAGAAGTAAGGACAAAGAGGATGTATGATTATCCACATTCTCTCTCCTTTGCTTTCAGCAATGGTCCAAAACAATAAGCAATATTACCCTAAGGCTGAGTACATAGAAGCACAGTAGAGATTTCCTTAGGTTTCCAAGTTCAGCCACAAACACTGCCAGGCAAGAGAGTGAAGACAGTGATACAGATAATGAGATACACAAAGAAACAAGAAGCTAATGCCTAGTCCAGCCCCAGGATAAGGCTTTTAAAAGAAACAGAAAGCCTAACAAAAGTACGAATACTGATCTCAGCACAGCACAGCTCTAGGTAGCACAGGTAAAGTGAGGAGGGAAAGTAATCCACTTTCAGCATTCTGACATGGTATCATGCTACTCAAATCATTTTCCCAAACAGTATACACAGACATCATTTTATTTGGTATTAAGACAAACAGCTGAAGGACTGTTTTCCCATGGATTAAAATCTTGTTGTCTTCTCTGACAGCTTGAGCACAACCTCTAAAAAGATCTCCCTGAGCCTCGAAGTTAGGGGCCCCTCCTCTGTGCTTTTTCAAACCTTTATTGTAATTGTCAACTTCCATACCTGACTTTCCCATGAGAACATAAGCTCCTTGAGGGTGGTTTCTAAACAAAGAGGCTGGCTCACAGCAGGATCCCAGCAAACGCTGAATGAATTAATGATGAATAAACATCATGCTACTGAAGGAAACACCTTACAACTAATAGTTTATATCACTCCACAATTTTCCACATTCTTTTTTTTTTTTTTTTTTGAGACAGGGTCTCACTCTGTCATCCAGGCTACAGTGCAGTGGCATCATCACAGCTCACTAAAACCTTGACCTCCTGAGCTCAAGCAATCCCACCTCAGCCGCCCAAGTAGCTGAGACTACAGGTATACGTCACCAGACACAACTGATTTTTAAAAAAATTTTCTGTAGAAACAAGGTCTCACAATGTTATAGCCTAGGCTGGTTCCACATTCTTAATAACACCATTTGTGATGGTCTCTCTTTTCAAAAGACATTCTGTACAGAAATATCAATATTTCAGTAGAAAGATCTCGCAGTAGGTTATGGTGCAAAATTTATTATTATAGCCCACAGTAGAAGTTCTAACTGTATCCACAAAAGAGTAACTTCTTTGTGCAGCCTGCACCTCAAAAACTATGAACATAACCATTTAAGAACTTATTAGGGAAAAAAACAGTTATCAGAACCTTGGAAAGAAATTCTTTGTGCCACCAGAAACAATAAAACTTCTAGGGTCCAGCCTATTAGCTACTCTTTTCTGCATAACAGCCCTGTAGGGGCTGCTACCATTAAAACCATATTTACTTCCCATGTCACCTAAAAGAATTTATATTTGTAAGGAGTCATTCATTTGACTAATATATATTAATGCCTAACAAGTTCCAGATACTGTGTTAGGGAGTTATCAGGAACAAGACAACATCCCAGTGCTCTGAAGCTTATATTCTCATGGGAAAGACTGAAGGATAAAGTGAAAAAGAAAAAAAAGAAAAAGAAAAACCAAACCCACTAAAATAAACTAATAAGCAAATTCATTTCAGACTGTGATAGAGCAATAAAGGAAACAAACAGATAATGAGCAGGAAGTGCTGGAGGTGGCCCCTTAGACGGGATGGTCTGAGTGGTCCTCCTTGACGAGGCGGCACCTGAGCTGAGACAAGCAGCAGCTCAAAGACAGTTTTCCAGTCAAAGGGAAAAAGAGCAAACGTTCAGAGGCAGGAAAGGACTGCTGCAATTTTTGAAGAACAAAACAGAACTCCCTGGTACTGCTGGATCTCTCCCGGGCAGAGGGAGAAAATTATACGAAAGGAGGCTGTACATGCGGGAAGAAGTCAGATTACGCAGGGTTTTACAGGGTCACGGCAAGGAACATTAATAATGTTCTTTGAAGATGGGGCTTTTAGCAGCGGAAATAAAATGAAATATGAGCCAGAAGACCTAGGTCAAAGTTGAGACTTAATCACATACTAGCCTTGGACCACAGGAAAGATACTTCACTGCTCTGCCTCAGTTTCTATATCTGTAAAACATCTATCCACCTCAAAAGATTCCTATGGATTAGGAGGATTGTCAGGATCAAATTGGATACTGTACACAAACATATTTTATAATTTCAGGAGTAACAGAAAGGAATATAGTATTGTCCAGAAGCAAATAACAGCTACTAAAAGACAATTACCTGGCAGAGCAGTGTGCTGGTGAACACCTTCGGTGAGAAGCATCGGCAAGAACGTCCAGTGAGTAAAGGGGAGACAGGGGATTGAACTGCAGGAATGAATAAGACTATTTTAGTAAGGCTTACAAGAAACGGACCTGATCCTAAAGGGTAACCTACACTTTGATTACTTTTCCCCTTTGACTGTCCAACTCTTTTGTCAAACACAGGCACTGTTCAGTAAAGTCACGCATATTTAACAGTGTGCCTGTGAATGTACCCAACCTGATCTAGCACGTCAAAAAAAAAAAAAAAAACCCCTAATCCTTATTAAACAACACTTTTTCAAAAACTTCTGATATACAATAGTCACTTAAATGGCAGAAGACAGTTTTTTCCACATGATGTAACAGGAACTTGTGCCTGCTGATTATCAACTATGTATCAGCCCTTGTTCCCAAGATTAGCATGAAATTACCTTTTCATTTCCTTATCCTGGCAAATGTTTCCAAGAATAACTGACTGGTTGGCACATAACGGCAGCATCACATTGTGGAAAGAGAACTAGACTAAGAATTAGAACATCTTTTAGTTCCAATCTACCACTGATGTACTGGGTGTCAAAAATTACATAACCTCTGAGCTTTACTATCCTCATCTGTTAAATGAATATATCACTATCTGTCTTACCTAATTTTTTTTTTTTGAGACAGACAGTCGTCGCTCTATCACTCAGGCTGGAGTGCAGTGGTATGAACTCAGCTCACAGCAGCCTCCACCTCCCGAGTTCAAGCAATTCTCCTGTCTTAGTCGCCCAAGTAGGTGACATTACAGGCACCCACCACCACGCCTTGCTAATTTTTGTTGTTGCTGTTATTGTATTTTTAGCAGAGACAGGGTTTCGCCATGTTGGCCAGGCTGGTCTCGAACCCCTCACCTCAGGTGATCCACCTGCCTCAGCCTCCCAAAGTGCTGGGCTTACAGGCGTGAGCCACTGCGCCAGGCCTGCCCTACCTATTTTACTTTCATTGCTATCATATTGCTTTTAGAGTATAATTTCAGTTTCTCATCTGCAAAAACATCTATTTGACTTCAAAATGTGGCAGTGAGGATCAAATGAGATCCCTCACTTTATGTTTGCTAGCTTTCTTTGGACTTTTTCCACAACCAATAGTCCTCTCCAAAAAGTTTAGAACTTAATACCTTGTGACATACAAAGACTGGAAGACCCTGGAATGATAACTTCAAACGTGTTTTATGAGAATACAAACTAAGCAACTGTTCTATCTGCCACAGAGGTTCCAATCTTGGTTCTACTAGCTGTATGACTTTGGGCAAATAGTATGAATCTTATAGATCTCCAGTTCATCATTTGCAAATAACAGATCTGGACCAGGTGACTGCCACAGGTCCTCTTCTGCCTTTAGATCCTCTGATGCAAACATGATTAGTGCTCTAGCTTAGTGTTCCCCAAACTGCAGTCTCTCACATACCACCTTCATGATTTTCCTTAGCTGCCTAAAACCTATACTACTGTTTACTTATTATTTTTCCTCATATCAATTATTTTTGCTCAGCTTTGTCCTTACTACATTTCTGTGAAATAACAAGCTTGATATAATAATCACATCTTTTCCAATGTAAACTATAATACATAACTTAAAAATTGTGCGTCCACATGCCATCTAAAATCATCTCATACACATACACCAGTTAAGTCTTCTACCACTCTAGTTCATTTTGAAACAGCAGATTCATAATGAAGATTCCAAGTCTAAAATGTGGATCATGTGTATCAACTCAATAAGCTACTAAGTCGTTAAAAAAAACCACGACAAACAGGAAGACTACAACTTTTCACCTGTCAGTGTTCATCTATTTTACAACTAATCACCAAGATAAAGCAATTCTCCAAAAAAAATCACAAAGCTTCACACATAAAGAAACATATCGATAACTACTATGAATTAATTTTTAAATTGTGAGCCCTCCACATGGGCCTAAATATGCCAAGGGCCCCCCTCAGGGGGTTGCTAGGGAAAAGACTAAGAAGGAGAGGCTCTACGGCAGGGGTCCCCAACCCCAGGGCCGCACAGCAGGAGGTGAGCTGTCAGCAAGCAGCTGCTTCCCATCGCTGGCATTACCGCCTGAGCTCTACCTCCTGTCAGATCAACAGCCACATTAGATTCTTATAGGAGTACAAACCCTACTGTGAACTGAGCAAGCGAGGGACCTAGGTTGTGGACTCCTTATGAAAGCCTAATGCCTGATGATCTGTCATTGTTTCCCATCACCCCCAGATGGGACTGTCTAGTTGCAGGAACACAAGCTAAGGGCTCCCATTGATTCTACATTATGGTCAGTTGTATAATTATTTCATTATATATTATAATGTAATAATAATAGAAATACAGTGCACAATAAATATAATGCACTTGAATCATCCCGAAACCACCCACCTCACCATGCCCCCAACCCGGGTCCACAGAAAAACTGTCTTCCACAAAACTTGTCCCTGGTGCCATAAGGTTGGGGACCACTGCTCTAAGGCTTTGACCCCACTTCACCCAGAGCAGCTCTACCTTCTGCTTCATACGTTTAGGCTTCAACATAGTACTTCTCAATGCAGGATTCTCATGTTGAACTAAACCATATGCAAATGAGATTCATTCCGCTTTCTTACTGCAAAGTTCAAAACTAAAATAAAAACAGGATTCCTATGAAATATATGCTACAAGAAACTAATGATCACAGTTGAACCTACAAAGAGGAAATAGCTGCAGTTTTTACCAGTAAGTATTGGTTACTCTTAGAAAACAGTTCTCCAAGAAAATCAAAATAACAAGAAAGAGGAAACCTTACCTCATGTGCACAAGCAGAAATGTGAGGAAAATCAGAAGCCAACGCTTTATTCTTTCTAAAGAAAAGGAAACCAAATGATAAAATAAAGATGACAAAGAAAAATGATCTTACCTGATTTCGTTCTCTTTTCCCAGCTGATGGTAACCAGAAACTAAAGAGAGGGAGAGAATAACAGGAAAGAAAACAATAAAAGAAGTGATAGGAAAATTACAGAAGGGAGAAGAAGATAAGATGTTGGAATAATGAAGTAAAGACAAAGCAGGGAATACAGAAAAGACGCAATCAGAGGAGAAGACATTAAATGCATGTGAAGGTTCTGGAAAAAAAAAAACAAAACCTCTTCAAAGGAAAAAGGCTTGTAATGGAATGTAAAAGACTGGACAATAGAAATAAACCCAAGATTACAGTGTGACACCAATACTCTCTCAGTTGTGCAGTGACAACAGAAGCCTCAACTCAACAAGGGCATAAACCACACCCACATCTTTATTTTCTATGTTAAAATTAGCCCGGGTTGGATGTGTACAGGATCATAACTGGGTACTGACCATGATGCATACAAGATATATGAAAGAACCAACCATTTTAGGGGACAAGGCTGTCACGAGAATTTGCAGAATTATTTTCCTGTAGCTACATACAGGCTTCCTACAGCACTCACCACAGTAATTAGAACAAGATATTTCACAGGTTGGGCGCAGTGGCTCACATCTGTAATCCCAACACTTTGGGAGGCCAAGGTGTGCAAATTGCTTGAGCCCAGGAGTTCAAGACCAGCCTGAACAACATGGCAAAACCCTGTCTCTACAAAAAATACAAAAATTAGATAGGCGCAGTGGCACATGCCTGTAGTCCCAACTATTCAGGAGGCCAAAGTGGGAGGATTGCTTGAGCCTAGGAGGCATAGGTTGCAGTGAGCCATGACTCCACCACTGTACTCCAGCCTGGGTGACAGAGCCAGACCCTGTCTCAAAAAAAAAAAGACATTTCCCTATGAAAAGGTCTAAAAATGGGAAGAGAATATAGGAGGATAGAGGCAATCATCCATTTTGGAAAAAAAATTTAGAGACAGAAAAATTAGTTTAAAATAAACATCTTTACTGGAGGCTACTAATGCAGCATCTGCAGGTATAAAAAAACAATACAATGAAACTAGTCCAGAAAGGAAAAGAAAATCACTGTCACAGGTTTAGGATGTTGCCATCTTTAACTGTTATAAAGTACAAATCTTTAAGATCTCTTTGAGCTCTGAAGCCTGATTTCTAAGTTGCTCCATAAAACTCCCCTCCGCCTCCTCCTCCAAGGAGCAGACTAGCACAGCCAGTAAATATGTAAGCACTTACTCTTTCTGCCGAGGGTCACTAATGATATGGCTTATCCTCTCAGTCCCCAAAGTGTTTATGCTGGTCTCCTAAAAAAACAAGGCAGACAAGAGTATCATCCAACCACAGAAACAAACACATAAAGTACAATATCAACCTTTCCCATAATTGTGCCAGCTAGGGCAACCTCAAAAGGCACATGTCAAAAATCAATCTTAAAATAAAACAGCAACTATATTTCTTTTTATTGCAATTCATCTTAAAAGTATTACATGTTACCCTACATTTATTATTCTCCAGTGATCCAAAAGTCTTTATCAACACTTTATAGACACTATTCACCATATATGGTATTTTAATAAGTACTATACCTCCTGGAACTACTGCAGTATATAGGAGTAAAAATCCTTTTTAGAAAATTCAACAGTAGCCAATTTTTAACAGGGCAGCACACCAAGCTCCCTAGAGCTATGTGATTATAGTCCCAACAGCCTTCATCCTGGGACGTTACTAAATCCTCACTGGTAAAAGTCTCTGCTGACTAAATATAAATACATCAAAAGAGTTTTGTGACTTGCAAAAATTGTTACTCTGTACTTTGTCCCTCAAACATCATCTCAAGAAATAAAAATAGAAATTTGTATAAAACTGATTCCTAAATTCAGGGTTCTCAACATCATTAGTATAAAAGCTTACCCATAACACCACAAATAGTTCAGAAATCAACCATTTCCAAAAAATTGGAAAACGGCAATTCACTCTTCATTTGAGTACATTCCCAATGCTTACCTACCATGGCACCTGGGAAAGCATACCAACACACATCTGAGTAACTGTTGTGTTGAGATAACACAAGTCACGGGCGTGACTGTCAAGAATGTCAAGGCTGTTCTTTAAACACATTTGTGTCTGGACAAATGTTATTATCTGTATTCATCTATATGTGTGGACTGTCCTAAACATCAGGCTACACATTTCAGCTGAACTGGCTATAGAAAAATTACCCTGAGGTCAGAGTCCGGGCAGTAGTGGAGTTAAATGAGAAGTTTTCATATACTATATTCTTCACATTCTGCATTTCTTACAGCTATGCCTCCTGGTCACAGACACAGACATGGTAGGGGGGCCAAGGGAAAAGATGGTTGAAAAATGAGCTATTTGTTACAGCAGAAAAATTATTAACTTAAAGTGCCGTAATGTTTAAATTTACAGTTTATTACTGTGTAAATTACAAGCAGTACTTTGTGTAATTAGCAGCTCACTGGCAGGGAGCTGTGAATGAAACTCATTATTTACGATGACAATTTAGAAAACCAGAAGCGAGATGGGGGAGGGAAGAAGGGGGCAGAGCGGTGACCTCTGCTAGAAATGATAAATATCGCTGTGAGGTGATGAAGATGAATTAAACAAGTAAATATTATCCTACTCATTTGACATCATTAAAGGCACATCCAATAGGCTCTCATTCCCTTCCAGGCAAACTAAAGGGAAACCTTCAAGACAAAGTGACTTGCCTCCATGGACGTGGATGGCTCTCATTTTATAAGAGCTGAAAGAGAGTAACATAGGTGGCAGGGGGAACATTATCTGTCAAGCCTAAACAATAAAAGTAAAATCCTCTCCTTCCTCCACCCCATGTGCTGCTATTCTGCTAGCTATCCCTGTTAACAGTAAGCTCCTGGAGCAGCAAAAGCAGCGCTTTGTCTGTAAAATGAGTAATTCGAAAGGTATCAGTCTTCCAATAATCAAATGTCTTCTAATTCAAGATTTGAACTTGAGGCCAGGCACGGTGGCTCATGCCTGTAATCCCAGCACTTTGGGAGGCCGAGGCAGGTGGATCACCTGAGGTCAGGGGTTCGAGACCAGCCTGGCCAACATGGTAAAATGTTGTCTGTACTAAAATTACAAAAAAATTAGCCAGGCAAGGTGGTGGGTGCCTGTAATCCCAGCTACTGGGGAGGCTGAGGCAGGAGAATCGCTTGAACCTGGGAGGTGGGAAGTTACAGTGAGCCGAGATAACACCACTGCATTCCAGCCTAGGTCACAGAGCGAGATTTCGTCTCAAGAAAAGAAAAAAGATTTGAACTCAAATTGAAAGATAAAAAGAAATAAGTATCCTGGGCTCATCTGGAAATAAACAGCCTCATTTTTTTTGCATGCCTAAAACTTCAGAAAACTCTTCCCTAGTCAGGCTATAAAACAGTATCCCCTTAAGGGAAGCCAGACTGTGGCACACATTGTGCCACCTAACAGGCATTCTAAATGCTTACCAAGTTACAACTTGTAACTTACCAAGTTTGTTCTTACCAAGAACAAACAAATTAATGCTTCAATGCCGCTCCTTTCCTTATTCTTTGCCCACTACCATCTTCTCTGAATGAGGATGAGCCCCTGTCTTAATTTATTTCTCAATCTCAAAGTAGAGTAAAAAATAAAATTCAATAAAAATGTAAAAAGGCAAAAGTAGACCTGGGTTCAAATCTCTATTCCACCATTCCTATCTGGGTAACATCAGACATTCCTTAACTTCTTCGAACCTAAGTTTTCCTCATCTGCTGAAGGGGCTTGCCCTTTTTCTACAAGGTTGCTGGAAGGATTAAATGAGTTGAGTCCCTGGCATCATCCCTGGCAAAGGCAGAACTGAATAAACAGCAGATAGTTCTCCCTCATGGCTGAGGGGCTCTTGAAACTCAATAACAGTTTTTTCTTTTTTTCTTTTTTATGAATTCTAGGATGAAACACCAAAGTTAGGAAAGAACAAAGATGCATTCATGAATTCAAGAGGAGTCATAAAGAAGCCAAGAATATTTTAACTTACACAATAATAACATAACATTAATCTAAAGTTACAGAAGGCACAGCTCAGGCTTGTAGGTTTATAGGCAACAGATACTGTAATGACAGTGTTTGCTTTGTCAGAACTTCTGTATGAATTACGTTTCATCTTTTATTTGTATATCCATTCACATTCTACATAATGTTCACTCTTGTAAACTCCCAACACATTCCAGTTGGCTCCATTAACTTCAGGGAGTTCTGTAGCACCTCTGATTGTTAACAGGGTACACAACTCCCATAGGGAATATTATCTCCCCACTGAGCCCAGCAAACTGTGAGAGGTATCACCTTCCCAACCAGCCTTCTTCGCCCCTTTCTGAGGCACCGAGCTGCAGCTCCAGGCAGACGATTCAAGCGAGCATGATACCCTAAAAAAAGAAGGAAGGCCTCAGATACCGAATGCAGAAAATCCAAATGCAATCCTATGTTTCTAGAACAGTGAAGGCTTTACCCCCAGGATCTTACTAGATTGACCTTTAAACTAGTATCACAGAGTTATCTGCCGAGGATTTATTATTCCCAGGTCTTTGTCACTAGCAGTATGATCACACGCATGCCATTTACCTTTGACCTAGGCATCCTCCATCTATAAAAGAGGGATAATCACTCAGTCCTACCTTACTGGGCTGTTTTGAAGACCCAATGAAATAGCAAATAGAAGGGACTTTATAAACTGAAAACACCACACAAACATAAGGTACTATTAACAATTTTTAACTTAAAATTAAATGTTAGTTTCTATGTCAAAAACATTCTAATTCATGACATAATGGGGAAAATAGCACACATCAGATAACCCAATTTTTCTCACTGCTGCATGTGTTCTACACAAGGAAAGAACAACTAGAGGAAACCACACCAAAATGTTATTAATGAGCTTGTCTCTGGATATGAGATTATAGGCCATTTTAAGTTTCTTCTTACTATTCTTGCTTATCTGTATATATTTTAAATGGTCCATTAGAAACTTTTAGAAATGTTCATCAAAATGTTCAATAAAGCAATGTGTGCCTCAGCCAGTCCTTACCAAGAACCAACCGCTGGTTCACCATGACAAAAAAAATTCACCATGACAAAATCCTACATAATACGAGTTTACATCTCGTAGTGTGATTCTGATCACCAACCGATGTTCAACAAATTCTTGACAATTGATTAACTGGTTGACTATGGGTTACTGGGAACCCTAGAATCATAAATTTATAGCGCTAAAATAAATGGTTTTGTCCAATGTCACATATCTTAAGTGATGACCCTGTCATCCCAAGAAAATGAAGCGACTATCACAGAGCTTGGTAGACCGTACCAGAGTATTAACACCACATTTCCATCTCTCTGTCCTAGGTTCTTTCCACCCACTTTGCTACATCATAATTGAAGAAAAAGCAAAGGGAAAAGGAAACATATTTGTGTTAAAGTCCCCAATAATAGGGTCATTAAAATAGAACTACTTAAATTATTTTAAAAGCATCCATTTTTAAAACACCATTATATGTGAATACTCTTACTGAAAATAAGAATGTGTAGATGATTGTTCTTATTGAAATCTGTTCTCTTCCAAAACCCGATACTCAATAACCTATCAGTTTCACATTAGGATAAGCAGCTGTCACTAAATCTGGCACAAACGGCAATGGCAAGCTGAAGGAATGCCCTGCTAATATATATGTCCCAAGAGTTTCCATGGATTAGTTTAGGAAGGAATGGAGAGAACCTTAAGCTTTGAGACTTACTTTGAATCCTCTAGAAAATCCCTGAGCTAGCTCCAAAATTCAGATAGTTAATGTGTGACTGAAGACATGAGTATGCTTGCTAGGAGATGATTGCTCTGCCCAAGGAGAACCATAAAAGCATTAAGTTCTTGGTCTCCTCAGAACTCACCTCTTTGAGCTGGCCGAGAAGGTAAAAGGAATGTGGAATCTGAAAATTTATCCAATCCAGAATCCATTCTTTCTACTTCAGAACAATGATCAGGAGCCCACTTGGGCAGAAGATTAGCAACAGTGAATCCTGGGACACATTCTCCTTCATAGAACCAATCACTCTGCTCATCGTCACCTAAAGTAAAGAGATCATATCATAAGCTAGAATTTTAAACTAGGTCTGAGAAAAACAAATGAGAGGGATGATTTCTTAGTGCTATAGTTTTGATCATCCTTTTTTTTTCCTTTTTGAGACAGAGTCTTGCTCTGTCACCCAGGCTGGAGTGTACTGGCATAATCACATGTTCAGGCAATCCTACCACCTCAGCCTCCCAAGTGGCTGGAACCACAGGCTCATGCCACTATGCCTGGTTATTATTATTATTATTTTTTTTAAGATGAATTCTTGCTCTGTTGCCTAGGCTGGAGTGCAGTGGCATGATCTCAGCTCACTGCTCCCCTCAGCTCTGCCTCCCCTCCCGAGTTCAAGCAATTCTCCCTGACTCAGTCTCCTGAGTAGCTGGCATTACAGGCGCCGCCACCACGCCTGGCTAATTTTTTTATTTTTTAGTAGAGATGGGGTTTTTGCCATGTTGGCCAGGCTGGTCTTGGACTCCTGACCTCAACTGATCCGCCTGCCTCAGCCTCCCAAAGTGCTGGGATTACAGGCATGAGCCACTGCACCCAGCCTTTTTTTTTTTTTTTTTTTTAAAATTCTTTGTAGAAACTGGGTCTCCTTATGTTGCCCAGGCTGGTCTTGAACTCCTGGGCTCAAGCAATCCTCCCACCTCAGCCTCCCAAAGTGCTGGAATTACAGGCTGATTATACTTTTAAATAAATCAAGGCACACAAAAAAGAAATTGTTCTGGTTCTTCTCGATTCATATTGCAATGAAAACTGAAACGTCAACCTGATTTCACATAAATGTCATACTGTGTTAAACTGGACTGCTTTAACAGTTAAAAATAAATAAATAAAGCTACCACTTACTAGGCCCTTACAACCTACCAGGATCCATGCTAAAAATCTGTAAATATGCCATCTCTTTCAAGACCTACACTAACTCCAACTTACAAACAAGGCAACTAATGCCTAGAGAAGTCAAGGTCAATTTAGTAAACAACGAAGCCAGGATCTGAACCCAAAGCCTGACTAACTCAAAAGCCTGAGATCTTTATTACAAAAACAAACTGCCTCCCCTATACCATTCTCAGTGGTATAAACTTGGGTGTTCAAAGCCCATAAATGTTTCTCAATTCAAAGCTAGCTATTCCTGAGGGATTTCTTGCTATATTTGGCTCTCTCATAAAAGGTGAATAAAGAATATACGTCTATACTTCATTTTATCCTTGGTATCTCATTAATGGGACAGAAATCATCTTGACACTAGCAATCCAAGCTACTGGGGAAAAAAAAAAAAAAAAACCACAGCAACAAATAACATAATTCCCTAAGACTTTTCAATAAGTTATACCATTTTCCCAAGACCATATTGTTAATTAACAGCAAAGTCACAACCAGATCCATATATCCAGACTGTTGGTACAAACTTCTCTCTACTGGCTGCAATGATAGTATCTCAGTTTCCACTAGAGTTTATTCCTGCCAACAAAGAATAGATAATTTTATGTCTGCCACACCATACTCCTTTCAAAATAGCAAAGTTGAAGGAAACTATTGCAAGAATATCTAAAAGAGTTCACAATGTAGTCATTCTCTAATGTACACTGGATTCCAGAGAAGTTGCTCAGAACATGTCAATCCCATGAAGTATGAGATTCATGGGTCATTAACACCCAGGATAGTAACTCTTAAATCACTGTGGAGATCTCCAAAATGGGCAATGAAAACTGCATTCTGGTAAAAAGCAGCAGATATTACAACTAAGAAAGTTACTCAAAGTGTTCCCTTATGAAAACACACCACAAACAGCTGTCTCTCTGATACAGTAGTTCTCAACTTTGAACATGCATCAGAAGCACCAGAAGGGCTTGTTAAAACATGGACCGCTGAGACCTAACTCCAGAGTTTCTGATTATAGCCTAGGCAAGACCAAAATTGTGTATTTCTAACAAGTTCCTTCATGATGCTAAGCTGGCCTGGGGACCACGTTTTGAGAATCACTACTCTAAAAGCATCTCACGAAATCAGATACATAGATGAACTGAAGACAGGCATTGGTGCATAATAATTAGTTTCTCTGTACTTCAATATATTAATTCTTTTCTTATTCATAAGCATTCCTCAGGACATTTATTGAAATAGTATATTTAATTAGGCCATGTTTTCTGATGACAAATGGCAAACTATAATGGATTTTTTTTGGTTCTCAAGCATTCATTCAAGATTTTTAATAACACAAAAAGGGACTCTCTGAACTAGAAGGAACATTGTGAGATCATGTAGACCAGTAGTCTTCAATCAGGGTTCACTAAGATGCCTGACAGAGGAGCTCCTTAAAAGAGTACTGCCAGGGAATAAGCAAGAAGCTGGATGGATCAGGTTCCTGACCTCTGGCTCCTCTAGAATTTTGCTTTAAACCAAATAGGCTTAGTTGTTTTACAGTCTGAGAATCTATGTATGATTTTGTTTGGGGGAAAAAAAGGAGAGTTTTCCCTTTAATTGGATTATCAATAATTATTAAGCATTTACTATATGCCAGGAACATGCTAGGTACTGCAGTTGCACATAGTAACTCCTGCCTTGAAAAGCTTCAAGGGAAAAGACGTGTACCTACAATCAATAACGTAATCTAGTGAGTACTAAAAGAAACAGTAAGTATAATACAAGGAGCCACAGAGAACAAAGGAGAAAGGACTATTGGCCAGAACCCCCTCAGCAAACACATGGCACATTTAAATGGGGTCATTGCAGAGATGTAATGAAGTGACTATTCACAAAGGTGTAGACAGTACTAACAAGAAACCCCACAAGGGATGGTGAAGCACATCAGGTAGAGCCAGCACAGCAGGAGGCCCTTACCATTCCTAGACCTGGAGTGGCAAGGGAAAGAATGGTTATCAGAGTCCAAAGAACTGCAGTTATAAAAGAAGGCTGCCAAACAAGAGTGGTGGCCCTCAGCAGAGGAACATAACCACTGCCAACCAGCAATCCAACAGAAAGGGTATCAGGGAAAGCAATAACCTAATGTGGTAGACTGCATTAGCGTTTCCAAGTCCTCTCTATAATAGAATAATTCATCCATGCCTTTTGCTCTTTGTCATTGGATTCCACAGTACCTTCCCTTTTAGGAAGAGCACACTTCCTCATCCTACTGACACTGGGCTTGGTCATATGACTTGCTTTACATAGTAGAAAATTAACAGACATGATTTAAGCAAAGGTTTTAAATATGTACACGTGGTCTAGCCTGGTCACCTGGCATTTACATCCTCTGCCACAGGAAGTCCATGCTGCCTATCACCATTGCTCCTCCACCCTAGGTCCCAAAATACAATACACTGAGAAGATGTAAACCTAACTTGAAGCCTGGAGACCAGTGGAGCCCAGACAAGATCAGTGGAACCATAGGCAACCCACAACCCCATAGCAAAAAATGAGTGTGGTAAACTGTGATAAGCCACTAAAATTTGGGGGCTGTCAAGCAGCATTACCACAATAAATACTTGACTAATATATCCAATATCATTCACCTCCCTCCCTTCGGTCTTCTGTTGATGCCTCCTATAGGCCAACTCCAACAAGAAACTGAAACCAAGAAGACCCACTGATATAGTTCATAAATATGCCCTTGCAGGGGCAAAAGGAAAACTGTGTCTTGGTAGATGACCACTCATTCAAGGAAGATGAGGATGAGATTTCAGGCAGAAAGACCAGCATAAGCAAAGGTACAGAGGCAAGAAATTCCATAGCTTTACACTGAGAACGCTAAGCATCAATGTCACCAGAATGTGTGAAGCTGAAGCAGAGAAAGAGAGGAAAGTTGGGTCTACAGAATATTCTATAATCTCTCATGATACACTAAGGAATCCTTATCAGTGAAAAGGCTTTCCAAAGGCCCAAAAACTTAATCTGCTATAACAGGTCCACACTTTCTTCCATCTCTATAATTATGCATCATAACCTTTAAGAGGTGCATTTTGATATTCCTAGAACTGTAGAAAAGCAAAGAAAAAGAGCAAATACTGGTAACTCTGAATAGTATATATAACTCATTCATGGAAAGACATCAGACTTTCCTGGTATGAGATAATAAAATCAAAAGAGCCTACCTGTACACACACACACATAATCTCTAATGACACCTAATTCCCTCAGAATCTAAAAGACAGAAATGTACTCACAACAACCTCCATTACAGTAGGAAGCTCAACAACTCCAGGAGGATAAACTGCCTCTATGCCTACAACTTTGAGGTATGAACAAGATGCTGTCCCCACAGTCCTTCTCCAAAAATCAGGACTTGGATGCTAAGTCTCACAGCCCCAGTATCCCTTCAGTTACTGGGGAAGCTACCTGGATCAACCTAGACATGTAGCCACTACGTCAGTCCTTTAATTGCTTAACCCATGGAGAAAAATTATTGGACTTTGGAGCTAGAAGGGACTTTAGAAACCCCTAAGTCCCCTATTTAGATTAAGAAAACCACAGTCCAAAAAGGCTACATAGAATTTTTATTGGCATGTGGCCCCACACAAGTCTAGAGGACAAACATTTTCTAAAATACCCTGATATACAGGCAAAGTTTTAAATTAGTGTTTAGGTAGTAAAAATAAAGAACTGGTAATTAACATACACCAGCCTTATTCACAGGACTCTATACTCCAGGAGTTTTACTTTGAGGAAGATGATGTTTTATACAATATATTCACCTAGAACACTATAATCATTATAAATAAGGCTATAAAAGTGACAAGATTTTCTCTATATGAAAATAATGTCTTAACACCTAAAAAAAGACAGTAACACATGAAGCTATTTCTTGATTCTAATAAAAAGAAACTTCCCAATGTCCCAGGCTCGACACACTGACCACCTAACCAACGATTCCCAATGTCTGATCTACCGGCATAAGAATCAGTTCAGGTGCTTGTGAAAAATGCAGATTCCAGGGGCCAACTCTAGACCTATTTATTTCTAGGAGCTCAGGACTGTGCGGTTTTCACAGTTCCCTAGGTGGCTCTCATATGCCTTAAAGTTTGAGAACCACTGCCATAGACAGTCACCATGTTCTCCATGATTATTCAAACATTTCCATAAACACGGAACCAATGTCCCAAAGCTGGGATCAACATTACCTTGTCGCCCTTCATCATTGGTAAAGAGCCCAGTGTCACTGCTGCTACACACACTGCTGGTTTCACTGTAAAAAGAGTAAAACACAAGAGAACTCATCAGCTCCAGTCAATAAGCACCGTACGCTTATTATGGTTTTCAAGCTTCCCTGATTTCACTCCAACCTATTAGCCAATCAGATACGTAAATTTCATTGGGAAGGTACAAAATTTTATTTTCCTCCCCAAACAAAAGAAATATAAGAGGAGAACTCTAAAATTTTCACTTATATTTTAAAGTACTAAAAAAAATCTAAAGTCACTTTGTTAGTTAAGGACTAGAAAGCTATTAAAGCTCAAAGACATAATCTCAACCTAGTTTGATATATTCAACAACATAAATTTACAAATTTACCAAACAATTTTATTCTTAAATATTGCCAACTATCAGTCTCCAATGAAGCTATGTAATTTTAAGACGTCTAGCATCTTTAAAGTTTTCCCCCATTTACAAAGAAGTAAACAAAAATCCATGAACAAGAAAAAAAATATGGCAAAACTTGTTTTCTGAATTTACTGTCCTCCTTCATATTGAGCAGATACACAAAACTCATTCTGAAAAAAGGAACTAAAGTTAAAAACAAAAATATAAAAACAAACTTCATTTGAACTCACTGAAATACAGCTTTTGTCCCATGAAATTCTGCCCAATCTGTTTCATTTTCTGAGCTATTGCTCACAGTTGATTCTGTTTCTTCTGATGGTGCGCTTCTAAATTTGATTTCTCTGGTTCAAGAAAAACTTCTCAATCCTCTACAGTATTAGCTATTTCCTTGATTGGGAGTATTTCCTTCCGAGATAGTCAAAAAAATTTTTTCACCTACTCTAGAAGATGCAAGAAACCAAAGCGAGGAAGAAGCATTTTCACCATGCTATAGAAAACATAGGCTTGGCAAAATCCCAATCTATATTCCTGGATCAAAAATCTGAAAACATTTTGTATTTTGCAACATTTCCGAACATCCTTCCAACACTAAATCTTTAAAATGCCAATTAAATTAAGGAGCAATGCTTTCCTTACTCAAGCTTGTCCCTGAATATCAGACGCAAAAGATCTGTCACAGAAATAGTCAACAAACAAACCCTATTTTTTTTTTTAAAGTTCTGGGATACATGTGCAGAATGTGCAGGTTTGTTACATAGGTATACGTGTGCCATGGTGGAACAAACCCTATTTCTTCTTTTTTTTTTTTTTTTTGGAGATGAAGTTTCACTCTTGTTGCCCAGGCTGGAGTGCAGTGGTATGATCTCGGCTCACTGCAACCTCCACCACGCAGGTTCAAGCAATTCTCCTGCCTCAGCCTCCCGAGTAGCTGGGATTACAGGAGCGTACAACCACACCCAGCTAATTTTTGTGTTTTTAGTAGAAATGGGGTTTCACCATGTTGGTCAGGCTGGTCTCGAACTCCTGACCTCGTGATCCGCCCGCCACGGCCTCCCAAAGTGCTGAGCCACCGCACCCGGCCCAAACTCTATTTCTTTATAGATTCTTTCATTTCATTTTCTTATGTACTTAATATAAGCTGGGCCTCCAACTATATTACCTAATTATTATAACATTGCTAGAAAAGCAACTGAACCACATCCAAGTGAAATAACAGAGTTAGTGTAAAGAAAGTCATCTTAACGTGCAGCTCCAAAGGTTTTTGCTCTCAACGTTTTACTAGGAAATTTTTCATAACTTAGATTCTGCAAGTAACATTTTGCTTTCCTTGTTTTTTCACACATCTCTCTATCTAACCTTCCCACCAGAGAGTCTTTGAAAACAGAGGCACCCTAGGTAAGCCAGATGATTGGGCATGGCATCTACTTTCTGACAAGTATATTATCATAGGAATCGAGCCTAATAAAACACTATGGAGCCCTCTTGTCCACTGTTAACACTGTAAACTTGGTACTGACTTGAAAATGCTTTCATCTTAACTGCTTTTCTTTTCAAGTTCTGAAGATGAACTGTTTGCCTTTCAAAGTGCAATTAAAGGGTATAGTTTTCAAACTAGCAAAAATTCTTAGTTTTAAAACTGTAGATCAATAGCTTTTTATTCTACATTTTTTATATTTTTACATTCTATCTATAGATCAGTGTTTTGGTTGTATTATGTTCTATAATTTGAAACTCATACTTATTGGTAAAAGCAGAGTCAATAAAGTAAAAACCCAATCTCAGTACCAGAAACATCAAGAACTATGGTTCTCAACTAGAGACAATTTTGCAGCCCCTCCTCTCCCAATTTGGCAATATCCAAAAATATTTTTGATACTCATGACTTGAAGCAGAGAAGGAGGAGTTGGTGAACTACTGACATTTAGTGGGCGGAGGCCAGGGATGCTGCTCAACATCCTGCAATGCACAGCACAGCCCCACAACAGAGAATTATCTGGCCCAAAACGCCAGTAGTGCCTAAGTTGCGAACCCTGATCCACGATGATGAACAAAGCAGAGGGCTGGAAGAGGTAGGCCGTCCCCTTTAGGGAAACTACTTGAGAAGAGAGGAGCCTGTGCACGTTAGCTGGATGCAGCAGTCAACATCCCATAGAAGCAACAATACCACTTCCTTGCCATGGCTGGGCCAGGGCCTCAAATGATCTGAAGCCTCCAGATCCAGAAACAATCAGAAGGCAGCCGGACCTTCAGACAAACTGGTAGAACTGAAATTACTCACGAGTCATACAGTTCACCCTTCCTTGCCTAACCGGGGCAGAAAGAAGATCCTGTAACCATAGAAGAGAATGATCCATGGATCCAGGGAAAAAAAATATCTTGCTCATCTCAATGTCCCCAATGCCTAGCATAGCGCCTGGCACATATCAGACATTCAGTAAATGTTACGTAAATGGAATGAACTTGTTCTAGACACCTCTGTTGCCTGCCCTTATACAGCCTTGTGGCATGTCACTTCAACTCTTTAGTCCTATTTCCCTACATGTAAAATGTGGATGGATTATTAAGGATGTGACAGTATGAGGTATGTGACCCTGCTTTGTGAACTCTAAAGCAATACACAAATGCAAAGGATGAAAGATTAGAAAGCTACTTCTAGGGCACCAAGTCTGTGTCTAAGTATTATTTTAGAGGTTAATAGTAGTAATTTCCTCACTGACAATCTTCTCATTAGAACAGTACTCTAAATTTTATAAGATGCAAACCTATTTTCATTTTAAATGGAAAAACAAATATGGCCTATGAAATCTATTATTTTTCCTGCACTGGGCTTCATCCAAAAGAGAGGAGGCACTACTCTCAGCCAAGATCTACAAGTGCCTCAGGAAGGGGTTTGGTACTTGAACTGAGTTTATTCACAAAATTATTAATATAGAAGGCTACTATTAACGATACCAAAAATATCATTCACTGAGTTCAACTGCAGGCCAGGTAATATACTAAGCACTTTATACTAATTATTCTTCTTCTACCCCCAAACTCTACAAGGTAAATACATCAACCTCATGTTACATATGGAAAGGGGCTTAGAGAAAGTATACAAGTTATCCAAGATCGCACAGCAAGTAAGCATCAGAGCCAGGGCAGTGTATGTCTAAAGCCCATGTGTTCACTGAATGGCCACTACAACACAGAAAGCACAGATACTCATCTCATTTACTAAAGTCAATCAAATGTTTCCCTATTCAGAAGATACCTCTAAATTCCAGGACTTTTCATTCTCCTGAAGATGCAAACAGATTAACTGAGCTAAGGAAGAAGTATTCGTTTGCTTTTAGCTACTTAAAACTTTCAGGCACAGCTGAAACTGCAGCTGTGCCTTGACTACTATCCCTTATCAGCAAATAATACATCATATATGCTGAACCCTAAGAAAACTAATTATAAACTCACTTTGGAAAGAAGCTTTCCTTCTTAATGCTGTATCTTGAATTCAATTAACACTCATTTTCGGCATGCTGACATAAAATACACCAAAACATATTCTCAGGGACCCATACCTCACTTGCCTTTATGGTTCCTGAATGCTCTTCCTTTGAAATCAAAGTAAAAACATTCTCTTAATGAGTTCAGGGGAAATAGCAGAGTCTGAGAATACTATTCCTGACTTTAGCATCACACAAGGCTAGGAAAAAAATGTTTCAGGCCAGTAGTCATCTGTGGTAACCAGACTCCCAAGATGACTCCCAATTACCCAACCTCCTATTAATGCACACCCCGGTGTATTACTTCTCACACTGCACCAGGTCTGGTCTGTATAACTGATCACACACAACAGAAGCAATAGGTTGCCACTTCTGAGATTAGGTTATACAAGACTGTGGCTTTCATCGTGGGCTCTCTTTCTGACTCTCCTCATCCCTCTCAGATCACTTACTCAAGGGGAAGCCAACTATCATGTCCTGAGGACGCTGATGGGCATGTGGAGGGGCCCACGTGAAAAGGGACCGAGACTCTAAGTCCAACAGTTTTATGAGGAAATGAGCTCTGCCAACAGCCATGTGAGTGAGCTTGGAAGCAAATCCTTTGGCCCTAGTAGAGCCTTGACAGAACTGAGGTCCCTGCTAACAGTTAGACTATAACTTCGTGAGAAGACTCAACCAGAACCATCCAGCTAAGTCACTCTCAGATTCCAAGTGATAAAATGTTCATTGTTTAGCGCTAGTAATTTTTTTTGTTTGTTTATTTTTTTTGAGATGGAGTCTCTCTCTGTCGCCCAGAGTGGAGTGCAGTGGCGCGATCTTGGCTTACTGCAACCTCCACCTCCCAGGTTCAGGCAATTCTCCTGTCTCAGTCTCCCGAGTAGCTAAGATTACAGGACTATGCTACCATGCCTGGCTAATTTTCATATTTTTAGTAGAAACAAGGTTTCACCATATTGGTCAGGCTGGTCTCAAACTCCTGATCTTAGGTGATTCACCTGCCTAAGCCTCCCAAAGTGCTGGGATTACAAGCATGAGCCACTGCGCCCAGCCTAGAGCTAATAAGTTTTAGGGCAAATTTTTCTGCAGCAACAAATACAGAATCTTTATAAACTCTTTGTTGAAACTAATTCCCTTCTTCCTAAACAGTAGCTTCTAGTTTCAA